ACATATATATATTTATATGTATTTAAAAGAATAAAAAATTTATTAAGATAAAAAAAAAAAAAAATTAAGAACAAAAATAAACATATTTTTTATAGTAAAATGATTAATTACATATTTTATATATAAAATAAAAAGTAAACATAATCAACTAAAAGTTTAAAGAAAAAGACAAGCCAAGATTACCAAATGGTAATGATTTAACAAATCCATATGATCCTAATAAATGTTGCGAATCATCAGGAATACAATTTAATTTTATATTTACTTTTCCTTTTAAATACTGTGTAGATATATTTAGATTTGTGTCAGGTATTCTATAAGAAATTGCACAATGAAAAGGATTATACTTTCCATTTATCCCTTCTACAGATGATTCTAATTGTTCTTGTAGAACTTCAATTTGTTTCTGTTGATTATCAATTATTTGCATTATACTCTGATAATTCTTATTTCTTTCTATTTCTGTATATAAATTTTTTTTTTTTTTTTGTGTTAAATCTTGAGAAATTTTGTTTATATATTCTATATTTGTGTCAATAAATTCTTTATATTTATTTATAGGTAGTTTGTAACATGATTCTAGTGATAAACCATAATTTTCCAAAGTTTTATTATATAAGTTAAATTCATAATTTTTGGGATATAAATTTTTTAATTGTTCTTTATATTTTTCTACTACATTATTAATATTATTAGAATATTCAATGTAATCTGTACTATATTTTTTATTAGAAATGATATTCCTTATTTCATTTATAGCTTTTAATTTTAAAAATTGAATTTTAAAAACTAAAATATTGAATAGTTGTTCGTCAACCATATTAATAACTTCAATAAAATAATTCAAATTATTTAATATATATTCTTTCTTTGTTTTCTCATTATTTAATTTTTCTATATCTCCTATCAATGAATAATTATGAAAATTTGTTTCCAAATATTTTAATATATTTTCAAAGAAATATTTGAAATCATCATTCTCATCTAAGGATTTAGTATAGGTACAAAAAATTTTATTAAGTGAAATTATAGATTTTTCATTTAAAATTTCTAAATGCTTTTTATAACTATTAATATTTTTAAGAATTTTATTTGAATTTATATCAATATCTTTAAAATTTATCATTATATTTTTATTATGACTATTTACATTTTCTTTTAATATACTGTTATTGTTAATAACATTTCTATTATTTTCCTTATTAAGATTATCAGAATTTTTTTCATTTTCTTCGTTCAACTTTTCTTCTTGTCTTAATAACTTATTATTTTTTGTATCAATTTTATTTTCATGTAAATCATGAACTAAATTATTTTTTTTTTCATCATTATTTATTATATTTTCCTTACTATTTATAATTTTGGAATCAATATTTTCATTTTCATTAACTAAAATTTTCTTGCTTTCTTTTTTATTTTCCTCATTTTTTTTTTTCATAAAATTGGAAAAAATAGAACAGACCTTGTGTTTTTTAAACTTATAACTTCTTTTATTTTTTTTCCCTTCCCAATTATTAATAAAAAGGTGATAATTTTTAAATCTACTACTTATACCATATTGCTGTTTGAATTTAAAATATTCACTTTTTTTAAATCTCTTTTCATTTAATATTCTTGAAAATTTTACCTTATTCCTTTCAATTAATCCTTGAAACATATAAATATTTAATAAAAAAATAAGTAATATATTTAAAAAAGTTTTTCCAATAAAAAATCTCATGTTATATATTTTACTAATTATATAAAATTACACAGGTGTGTATAAAAACTTTCAGCACTTTAACGTATATTAACAAACTAAATAAACAAAAAAAAAATGATACAATCATATGATGTTTTAATAAAATATATTATTATTTAAGCAGTTTTCTATGATAAATTAAATTTATATTTGAAGGATATTCATTAATATTCGCAAGAAAAGTACTTACATTTTTTTACATGATTCAATATTACGGAATTTTCAAAAATATATAAAAACCAAAAGTAAGTACTTGTTTTATAGAATAATTTTTTCTTTTGCTTATATTTTTAAAAAAAAAAAATTTCAAATGAGTAACTTTTTTTTTTTTTTTTCATTTTGTTTAGTAAAGAAAAAAAAAAAAAAAAAAAAAAAAAAAAAATATAAAAAAATTCAATTCATATAATTAATTAAAACCGACTTACATGTTTTATGTAGAATTATTATTATNATAATAATAATTCTACATAAAACATGTAAGTCGGTTTTAATTAATTATATGAATTGAATTTTTTTATATTTTTTTTTTTTTTTTTTTTTTTTTTTTTAAAAAAAAAAAAAAAAAAAAAAAAAAAAAAATATAAAAAAATTCAATTCATATAATTAATTAAAACCGACTTACATGTTTTATGTAGAATTATTATTATTAATAGTATGTTAGATCATTTCATTTTTTTTTTCTTGTATTATTTTAAACTAAATATTAGAAGGGAAATATAAAAAAAATATAGAAAATTATATCAATAAAAAGAGGATCAGTATTTTCATAAACTAATTTTTTTGAAAAAATATAAGGTATTAGAATAAAACACTGAAAAAAAAAAAAAAAAAAAAATAAAAGAGCAAAAAATTTATATATATTAATGAAAATTCTCATAAATTTAAGAAAATTAGGTATAATAATGAGTTAATATTATTTTCATTATTTTTTTATTAAAGGTATTATTTATAGAGTTATACTATTAAAATTAATTTTAAAAAGGTTAAGAAAACATGTTTAGTTATTTTAAAAAAGTAAAAGTTTCAAAAGACGATTTGCTGCCATCCATCTATGATTATGAAATAAAAAAATTAGATGGTACAACAATTTCAATGTCTACTTTTAAAAATAAAACTTTAATTATTTTTAATTCAGCATCTAAATGTGGATTAACAAAAAATCACATTAATCAATTTAATATATTGCATGAAAAATTTAATTCAAAAGGATTAGAAGTTTATAATAAGAAAAAATAAAATATTCTTATATGTTTTTATTTTTATTTTAAGATTATATATATATATATATATATATATATATATATATCTTTTTTTTTTTTTTTTTTTTAGATATTAGCATTTCCAACTTATCAATTTTTAAATCAAGAGTTTCAAGATTCCAGTGACATTTGTTCATTTAATGAAAGCAATCAAATAAAATATAATATGTATGCTCCTATTGATGTTAATGGAGATAAAACACATCCATTATTTAAATTTTTGAAAGCGAATTGTGATTCAGTTAGTTTTCATTTATAAAAAAAAAAAAAAAAATGATATATGACATATATTATTTGATTGTAAAAAATGAATTAATCTAATATAAATTAATGTCTTATTTATTTAAAAATTTAACAAAAATAAAGTTTTGAATTATTTTTCTTTTATTTAGATGCATGATGAAAACGGAACATTAAAAAGTATTGGATGGAATTTTGGAAAGTTTATAGTTGACAAAAATGGAAATGTTGTTAATTATTTTTCACCTAAAACAAATCCATTAGATTTAGAAAATTATATTAGTGAATTGTTATAAAAAAAAAAAAAAAAATACTACCCATACAAAAATAAAAATTTGTAGAATCAATATTAATAATAAAAATATGATAGAAAGAACTATTTTAATTTATGTATATTATATTTAAGAGTTAGTATTACTTAAAATTCAGATTTTATTTACCTTTTTGCATATATTTAAAAGATTAACTCATAAAATAACATTAGAATACTTTTTCGTTATATGAATAAAATTATATATATTCACTTATAATCATTTAAAATTTAGGTATTTTTTTTTTATATGCCTTTTTATATTTTACCCTTTCTTTTTTCCTTACAAAATTTGTATCTTTTATAAATGTAATATATAAATTCTTCTAAGCTACGAAAGAGAACTATTTTTTTTACGTAATACAAAATATTATATAATCATAATAAACACATAAACTTATTATTATATATAAATAAAATTCAGTACTTCCATTTTTCTTTTTTTCTTAAAAATCTTTAAATAAAATAAAAAAAAAAAATAAAGATCTTTATAAATTGATCTACATTTTAATAATACTATAAAAAAAATAATAAAATAAAAATAACATCAACTACAATAAATATTTAAAAAAAAAAAATTTCTTTTTAAAATAAATATGTATTCCCAAATATATAATGATTTACAAATTAAAATTTTTTTTTCTTCATTGTATAAAAAATAATATTACAATTTATTATTTTACCTAAGAGGAAAAGAAAAGAGAAACATTTAATAAATCTTTATACTATATAGTAAATCTTTCAATTATAAAAGTAAAATATTATTTTTTTTCATTTAATAATTAAATCGAGTGCTAAACATTTTATATATATTATTTTCTTCACATAGTAAGAAGAATACTTATTTTTATATTATTTTACTTTATTTTTCTTCTTTTTTTTTAAATTAAATATAAATTTCACTTTTTTTTTTTTGAAAAAAATAACTATGACATCTTTTATTTTACTTCAAAAAAAAAATTAAAATTGTATTCGTCGATATCACATTGACTTAAAAAAAAAAATAGTAAAATAAAATAAAAATAATACATATTGAAGAAATACACTTTTTTTTTATAATTTAATTTTTTAAATCATTTCAATTTAATATAAAAAATTTATATAGCTTAATTCAAAGTATGTTTTTTTAATTTTTTACTGTAGCTCTTTCGTAATTATGTATTAATGAAATTTTTATTTTTACTCCTACTTTTCTTTTAAAATAATTGTCATGTTTTTTTATTTAAAAAAAATATTTAGTAAACAAGCATAATACTACATAATAGCTAAATTTTATTTTTCATACTATTTTAATTTTTTAAAATAAGAAAAAAAAATTTTAATTCTTTTTAAAAAAATAAAATAAATTGAATTTTAATAAGATTACTATGTAATAAAAAAAAAAAAAATAAAATAAAATTTATATTTGGTAAAAATATTAACTATTTAATGTACATACTTAAAAAATTAAAAAATCAAAGTCTAGAAATATTAATAATTTAAATAATAAAAATAAGAAATTTTATCTTTAAGAAATATATATATATATATATATATATATATATTAATAATTTTTAATGTTTAAAAAAAAAAAAAAAAAAAAAAAATAATAAATTTTTTTTTTTTTTTTTAAAGTTATGAATTCAGATAATCCACATATAAATTTAAATGAAAAAGAGAAATTAGGTGAAAATGGAAATGAAAAAAAAATTGAGAAAAATACATCAAATAAATTAACGAAAAATAATTATCATATTGATGTAAATGAAAAGAATGATTCAAATAATAAAATAGCTATAGAACAAAAATATGTAGAAACTAAGGAAAATGAGATTGATAATGGTAATCGAGGAATTTTAAATTATGAAGACAACTTGGAAAAAGAAATAATTGGAAAGCTTTCTAAATCACAACAATCTCCAGATGAAATTATTGAAAATGCAAAAATTTCCGATAGTGATGCATATTATACGGCATTATTAAAAGCAGAAGAAGAATGCAAATCAACAGGTAACAATTATTATGCAACAGAAAGCATAGAAAACTTATGTAAAGAATTTGGCTTAAAGGATATTAGTTATGGTCTTGATTCAGAACAAGTAAAAATAAACAAGGAAAAATATGGAGAAAATTTCATTGAAAAAGAACAAGTAGTACCTATATGGAAAATTTTTTTATCTCAATACTGGAGTCCAGTTGTTATTTTATTGTTAATTGCTTCTGTGGCTAGTCTTGCTTTAAATGAAATTGTTGAAGGAATAGCCATTATAAGCATTGTTACATTAAATGCTTGTTTAGCTACATATATGGAAAAGTCCTCAGGTGATGCTATAGCTAAATTAGCAGAAATGGCTTCCCCTCAATGTATAGTTCTAAGAGATGGACAAAAGATGGTTATTCCATCAAAAGAAGTTGTAGTTGGTGATGTTGTTATTATAAATACAGGTGATTCTATATCAGCAGATTTAAGACTTTTTGAAGTTATTGAATTAAAGACTAATGAAAGTTTATTAACTGGAGAATCAGAAGACATAAAAAAAACATTGGTAGCTGTTGATCCAACAACTCCATTTGCAACAAACTTATGTTTTGCTACAACTTCAGTTACAAATGGGTGTGGTAAAGGTATCGTTATATCCACAGGATTAGAAACTCAAGTGGGAAAAATCGCATCTCAATTAAAAAGAACAAGCAAAGGTAGTAAATTAACACCATTACAAGTGGCATTAAATAAATTAGGAGGTTTAATAGGTTTAATAGCTATTATTGTACTTATAGGAATTATCGTTTTAGCAGTTCTCATTAAATATAGAGATCCTGCACATGCAGACAAAGATCCAACCTTTGTTATTATAATTATAGGAGTAGGTTTTGCTGTATCATCCATTCCTGAAGGTTTACCTATGGTTGTAACTATTACTTTATCTGCGGGAGCTAAAGATATGGTTAAAAAGAATGCAAATGTTAGGAAATTACCAGCTGTTGAAACATTAGGGTGTTGTTCTGTTATATGTTCGGATAAAACAGGAACATTAACGGAAGGAAAAATGACAGCCATTAATGCAGTTATTATATGCAAAAGTTCTTCTTTAAGTGATGATAATAACACATTAACAAAAACGTTTGATTTTTATCCAACGAAAGGATTTGAACCATACGGTGGTTTATTTGATTCAAAAGAATTGACTAATGAAAAAAAAAAAAATATTGTAATTGCCAAAAATCAAAATATATCATATGATACTGTTCTATACAATTATGGAAATGTTGCAAATAAATCAGTAATTGTAGATAAAGTAAGATCTTTAATGCTTGCTGCATATTTAAATTCCTATGATACTACATTAACAAAAGATTCTAAAACATCTAAGTGGTCCATACAAGGAAATATGAGTGAAGGTCCAATTGTAGTTGCTGCAGCTAAAGTAGGATTTTGTTTTAATAACACATCTAACAACTCATATCTTAAAGAATATGTCAGATTAGATAATTTAGAGATTACATTCAATTCATCACGTAAAATGAAAGTTACTTTTTATAAATTAAGAAAAGAAAATGTTTTTGAAAATATATATCTTGAAGATTCTAATAAAACATTTACTCATATAGCTTTAATTAAAGGTGCACCTGATAAATTACTTGATAGAAGTACACATTTGCTAAAAGAAACAAAAACAAAAACTTATGTTTCATGGAAAGAAAAAATTACTGAAGATGAAAAAAATATATTAACAAAAAAAAATTTGGAATTGTCAAAAAAAGCATTAAGAGTTTTAGCAATATGTATAAAACCATTAACAGAAGAAAACATAGAGTATTTAAAAAAATTGAGTGATGCAGAAGAAAGATTAAATTTTGTTAATCATGATGAAAATGGTGGATTTATACCTTTAGGTTATATAGCATCTTTTGATCCACCAAGACCAGGAGTAAAAGAAGCAATTCAAACTTGTAGAGAAGCTAAAGTGAAAGTAATAATGATTACTGGAGATCAAAAACCTACAGCTGTTGCTATTGGAAAATTAATAGGTTTAATAAGTGAAAATCCAGAAGAAGGAACAGATTATAATGTTGCAGCTATAGAATGTTCTGAACTTCATATTAATAAAAATTCAAATGAACCTGTATTACCAGACGAACAATTGGATGAATTTACCGATAAAATTTTAATATATTCAAGAGCACAACCAGAAGATAAAATTACTATTGTTCAATCTTTAAAAAGAAAAGGTTATTTAGTTGCAATGACAGGTGATGGTGTTAATGACGCACCCGCTTTAAAAGCTGCAGATATAGGAGTAGCTATGGGAATAAACGGAACTGAAGTAGCTAAAGGAGCTTCAGAAATGATTTTAATAGATGATAATTTTTGCACTGTTGTTAGTGCTATTGATGTGGGAAGAACTATTTATTCAAATATACAAAAATTTGTCTGTTTTTTGCTTGGTACAAATATTGGTGAAATAATTTATCTATCTGTCGCTATAGCTGCACAAATGCCCTTTCCTTTAGAAGCCTTGCAAATTTTATTTTTGAATCTCATGACAGACGGATGTCCAGCTGTTGCCTTGTCAAGAGAACCACCAAATGATGATAATATGAAAGTACCTCCTAGACCTAAAAAACAGCCAATTATGACCAAAGTTTGGTGGTTTTATGGAATTATACCGCATACCATCTTTGAAGCTTTATGCGTATTGTTATCACTAGCTATATCATTATATTTGTGTACAGGAGCTTTTACGTTAAATGGAATTAACAATTCATGTAAAACAGTTAATATTCCTGATGTTAATGTTGGTACAAAGTTTCATGAATACAAGTATTTTTGTAGTACGTATGAATATAGGATATCATCTAATTATGTTGGATGGGTAACAAACATAAATTTTTGGGATCCAACAGAAAATAAAACTGTAACATTTTGGGGGGCAGCAAAAGGAAGAATAAAAAATATAACCCCAAAATCTAAAGAAATTCACCCAAATATAAGAATCATAATGAAAAATGGATGTTCTGGTAACGTAAAAGAAGATTCACTTGGTTGGTGTATGCCATTAGATAGTGCAAGAGCCACAGGAAAAGATGATGAAATTCCAGGTATATTAAAGAAGGGATTTGAAGATATAGCATCCAGAGGTTCTAAACGTGGTAGAACTATGGCTTTTATATCGGCTGTTTGGTGTGAAATGCTAAGAGCTTATACAGTTAGGAGTTGGGAGCCATTTTATTCTGTATTTAATAGAAATATGTGGATGCATTTGGCTTGTAGTATATCTGCAACATTAACTTTTCTTTCAACATGTATACCTGGTATTACTTCTGTTTTAAATACAACTTGCTTGTTATGGTGGCAGTATATTTTAGCAATATTATGGGCCTTTTTAAATTTAATTCTAGATGAAATAATACCAAAAGTTTTATATAGAAGAAAATATATGACTATCAAAAATTAGTATGTCCATTTTATATGTATAAAATGCACATCATATTTTGTTTTTTAAATATATCTTTATTTAAATTTTTACGTGTTAAATTTTAATATTTATAAATAATACTAGTTTTATTATTTTAAGTTAATTTTTTAAAAAATTTATTAATTTCATTTTCATTATAATTTAATATTTTTTTTTTTTTTTTTTTTTTTTTTTACGTTGTGTTTGTACAAGAAAAATAATATTAAAAAAATAATTTTTTGAGAGTATATATTTATATATGTATACATATAATATTAGCATAGTTCGGCATATGAAGAAACATATATATATATATATATATATATATATATATATATATATATATATATATATATATATATATATATATATATATATTTTTATTTTTTAGCTATTTGGAGATCTGTTTTTGTTTTAAGATTTGCATGTGCATATTTAAGAGATTTTTCATAGAATAAATAATTATTTAATCTGCAATAAATCTAAAAAATTGTTGCTTTCATTATTATTTGTATTTATTATTATATCAAACTAATGAATTAGTGCATACTACATATATATATATATATACATATTTTTTTCGTAAAATTTTGTATTAAAATTTTTTTCCTTTCGTATGTTTTAAATAAATTTCGTTTATGAAAACCTTAAGCTATAAAAAGAAAAAAAAAACTTAAATAATTTTATAAAATATAATTATATGAAATTACAAATTTTAAAAATATATGTTAAAGTTTATTCTTATATTACTAATGATTCAATTTCTAAATATATACTTTTTTTTCTAATTTTATATTTTGGAATATTTATTAACCTATTATGTATGCTGATATTTAAGCTGTTGCTTTTTATGTAAATTTAATCGTCAAAAAAAAAAAAAAAAAAAGATAAAGCAATTAGCAAACTGGTTTACTTGAAATTTTTCTTTTCTTTTTTTTTAATTATAAGAAAATTAAATTCGGTTATTTAATAATTATATAAAGCTTTAAAAAGAGTAAAAAAAAAAAAAAAAAAAAAAAAAACTAAAATATATTTGTTCATATTCTTTAACAAATTCAAAAAAAAAAAAAAAAAAAAGGAATAAAAAAATAAGAATATGCAAATGCAACTTTAAAAAATGTTATATATATAAATGTAGGACCACATAACAGCATAATAAAAATTATAAATGATTTAACAGCACATGCCAAATAAAAAGGCCAATGTTTAAAAAAAAAAAAATTCAAATATATAGAAATTGTATGTTCACACAACATAAAACAGTAAATTTTTTTATAAAAAAAATTTAATTATAAAAGTATTATATACAATTTTAAAATGAACATAAAAAAACAAGATAAAAAAAAATAAATAAATAAATCAAAAACCACCTCTTAATCTTAAAACTAAATGTAAGGTAGATTCTTTTTGAATATTATAATCGGATAAAGTTCTTCCGTCTTCTAATTGTTTTCCTGCAAAAATTAATCTTTGTTGATCAGGTGGAATTCCTTCCTTATCTTGAATTTTTGCCTTAACATTTTCAATAGTATCAGATGGTTCTACATCAAGAGTGATTGTTTTTCCTGAACAAAAAAAAAAAAAAAAAAAGCATATATCATTAATTTAAAAAATAAAGATATTCCATAAGAATAATTTACTTAATATGTATATTTAAAAAAAATAATAAAATAATAAAAATATGTTTCATATAATCTCATTTTTTTTTTAAAAAAAAAACTTTAGTATGAATATATAAAGGATCTACAAATTTTCAAGTTTTTGTTTGCAAAAAGTTAAACATATAAGAATATACATTAGTACATACAATTAACGATCTAAAATATGAATTCAAACTTTTTGATTATAAAGAAATAGAATAAAAAATAAATTTATAAAATAAAAGGTTAAAATATAAAAAATATATAGAGAATAATTCATATTAATAAGTAAAATATTTTTATTTGACTTACCAGTTAATGTTTTCACAAAAATTTGCATTTTTCGAAAAAATATAAAATATATATTTTATATATATAATATTGAAATTACATAAAAAAGTATATTTTCTTTTATTAAAAAATAAAAACTATAATTATATATCTGATTTCTTATAAAAAAAATACATAAATATTTTGTTTTAACAAAGAGTAAAAATATATATAACTTTTTTTTTTTATTAAAATACGAGTTTTAATATATCATTTAATTTTAATGTTAAATTAACTTAATAAATACTTTTCTTATATTTTTAATATAAAAAAAATGAATATTTTTTACGAAGATTTAATTTTACGTAAAATTTAAAATTTCTTTTTATAAAAATAAATAAAAAACTCAAAAAAAAAAAAAAAAAAAAAAGTATTTCTTGCGTAATTTTTTTTTTTTTTTTCAATGGGACCATAATGGAAGTATTTGCTTAAGCATGATAAAAAGATTATATATATCTTATGTTAAACATGCAAACATTTATTAAAACATTTTTTCAATTTTAAGTAATATTTGTATGTTTTATATTATATAATTAAATTTTTTTTGTATATTCAAGAAAAATTATTTTAAAAAAAGAAAATATTTAATTATAATAATATTTATGAATATATTAAGAGATTTAAAAAAAAAAAAAAAAAATAAAATTTAGCTGAATGTTAAAAAAGATGGTAATTTAGCTTAGTTATGTCAGCAAATTAGAGCATTTAAACTCTATATGAAAAAAATAAGTTTTACATAAAATTTCTTTTGAAACGTAAAATGTATTGTATTTTATAATAAATTTGTGTGCATTATTTTAATAAGATTCACATATATATATTACATATTATACAAATAGAAAATGATGTATTATGGCACTTGCAATTAATTTTATTGAAATTAAAGAAAAACACAAAGATTTTTTTTTAAAGAGAAAAAAATATTGTACATAAATTTAAAAAAAAATATATTTTTAAAAAGTTAGGATTTCAAATTAATAATTAAAAAAATAAAATAAAAAATTAAGGTAATTAAAAATTTAAGAAAAAAAAAAAAGGTAAATAATATTTAAAAATAAATAAATGAAGATTTATGGGCGTCTAACTGAACGATCACCTCTTTCTTGAAGTTCTCCTTTTTTAATCAGTATAGCCAAAGCTCTGAAAGAATAATAAAAGATAATGAGAAATTATTATATATATATATATATGTTGTTTATGCAAATAATAAACAATGCATTAGATAATTTAAAGAATTTATCAATAAAAGTGGATGTATAATATTTACTATTAGTAAATTAAATTTTTTTTATTGCATATAAAATATAAAATGATTAAAATATAAAATATATTAAAAATGTTAAAATCTATTTAATTATATGAATAAGGAAAAATTAACTGGTAAAATAAAAGTTAAAATCTATGATGCAAGTTAAAATGAAGGAAATTAAAATTAAATAAGACATATGAATTTAAATTTATTTTTTATATATATATTTATTCAGTTAAATTTTAATATTAATATTGAATAAATAATGATGTATTTCTATATTTTTAGTTACTTTGATAAAGCTGATCTATCAAAACCCCTTAATTGTAGTTCTCTAAATAAATTTACTCTTGATGCTCTTTGTCCTTTCCCTAGTCTCCCTAATATTGCATCTTCTGCTTGCTGATAAAATAACGAGAAAAAAAATATATTTTACAAAGATATAGTTGAAAAAAAAATATACTAAAAGGATAAAGAAAATTTTTTAATTATAATCTATCTGTTGTTAAAAATAAATAAAATAAGGATATGTTTTCTTTTTTCTCTTTAAAACCTTCACTGCTTTTTGCTCCAAAGGAGACATTGTTTCAAATATCAAGCATTGTTTTGCAGTTTCAGCAGTTGATGCTGAAAATAAATCAATTGACATTTGAACATGTTTTTCCGTAGCAAATTGAGATAATTCCATTTTGGCGAAACTAAAAAATGAACATATTAATGAATTTTAAGTGTATATATATATTTAAAATATCTTTAATTAGATTATATTTTTAATGTATTTTGTATTTAAATTAATTTTTTTTCTTCTTTTAATATATATAGTTATATTTAGGAATTTTCATAACATTCTTTCTTAATCCATAAATTTTTTTAAAATATTATGCATATAAGGCTAAATTTTGAATATTATAAATGTAATTTTATATTATATAAAATAATTATTGTGCATATATACCTTTCTGCCAATCGAATTAATGATTCTAATTGTCTTAGAGTGATGGGAATTTTTTTTGTTACTGATCTTCTATCTCCTCTATATTCAGCTCTTGTTTGCACATAAAAATTCCTTAAAGAGTCTCTTGCTTCTTTTGATAGTAATGGGGCAATTTCCCTTTTAGCATATTGTATGTATCTTGTAAGTTTAGATAAAGGGATTTCTCCTTCTTGAGATTTATGTTTTGATGCATGTAAGGCGACAATATGATTACATAACAATGTATCTTTTTCTACATCTTGTTTATTTCTTAATAAAAAAATAATATCAAATCTTGAAAGAATAGTAGTTTTAAAATCATGCTGATCCGTAGTATCCTGAGAATCATCATACGAACCAAAAGAAGGATTGGCTGCAGCAATAACAGCACATCTTGTATTTAACATAGTGGTAATTCCTGCTTTTGAGATGGAAATTGTTTGCTGTTCCATTGCTTCATGAATAGCCACAACATCGTCATCTCTCATTTTATCAAATTCATCGATACAAACAACACCACCATCAGCTAGTACCATAGCACCTCCTTCTAATGAAAAAACTCCTTGGCTATCTCTCATAACAGCTGCTGTTAAACCAGCAGCACTACTACCTTTACCAGATGTATAAACAGAAACAGGTGCACACCTATTTACAAATTTTAATATTTGCGATTTAGCAACTGAAGGATCTCCAAGCATTAGCATGTTAATATCTCCCCTAATTTTTGTTTCTTCACCAATTCTTTTTCTTGTTCCACCAAATAATAAACATGCACATGCTTTTTTTACTTCATCCATTCCATATAATTCTGGTGCAACAGATTTAAAAATTTTTTCATGTATATCATGTTCGGCTGCAAGTAGTGTTAATTCATTTCTTTCTTCTACATCAAAATTTAAATCATTACCTGTCATGTCATCATACTTTTGAAACCCTAATACGTGCAAATAAGAAAAATTTGTTCCATCTGCTCTAGTAGGTTTGGGGTTTGGGTTGTAAGAAGTTAAAACACCATGAACATAAACTCTGTCACCTGGAATCATTTTCTCACATAAGTATCTTGTTGCATTTAATTGTAAATGCCTAGGCATATCACCTGTTGGAACTGCTTCAGGTAGTTCTTGCATTTTTAATGATTGTATGTCAACAAAAGTGCATTCATTTGGTAAAATAACATATGGTTCTAAAACACCATTACATCCCAGTTGGCTATCCATTGGATTTGCTGCTCCCATTGACGATTTCATAGTAGATGAATATCTACAATATGGTGGTAATTGAGGTTTATCTTTCCATAATGGTACATCAATGGACATTTTGTGATCACAATATCTACATTGTAAAGTAATTTTCCTCATCTTATGTTGGGGTTTGCTAGCTTGAACAATTATCCCTGGAACAACAACAAATCTTTCTTGTGTTGCTGCTAGTAATCCTCTTATTGGTGTTGGTCTTATAAAAGTATTTAATAAATTAATTTGTATATAATTTAAATGCTCGTCTTCGTCATTTAAAATATTAGCTGTTTCACACACTTCATAACATACTCTTTCTATTGTTGGCAAATATGTTAATGGTCTTTCTGACAAAGCTCTAGCTAAAATTGCTGAATAATTTTCTGGTTTTTTCATTTTTCTTTCAGATCTAGGTGTTGCGCTAATTTCATTATTTTCAAATACAGTTTGTTGTTTATATATATCATCTAATTTTAAATCTAAAGTGAAATTATTATTTTTTACATTTTCAAACAATGTTCTTTTTAAATTTCCTTCTTTTAAAGTATTAGAAGAATATCTTGATAAAAAATCTTGAAAATAATTATATACTTCATTAAGACTCGGTAAATTTTCTTCTATTCTTATATTATTTTCTGGTTTACTATTTGGATTCTTTGTAGCACTAAAAAATGCTCTTCCTTCTTGAATCCCTAACATTTTCGATCCTTTTTTCTTTTAAATTGTATTAAAAAAAAGTCTAAAAGAATAATATAGAAATAAAGAAATAAGGAGACAAACAAATATGTTTATTTCTAAAAAAAATTATTCAATATATGATACTATTCAAAATAATTATCTAAATTATGCCTAATAAAAACTTAAAAAAAAATTTTTAAATTTATTTTGAAAATTAGTACAAAATGAAATAATTGAAAAATAACTTTTTAAAAAAAATTAACATTATATGCACACTTATTGGTAAATGTCTAAATTATTTTTAACTTAAAAAATAATAGTAAAAAAAAAAAAAAAAGATCTTCATTGCTTATTATTATATATCTGTATTTTCTCATAAATTTTATTTACTTGGTTTCCATAATATATTTCATATTATTTTATGTACTACTTTTGTATATTAAATTATGCATAGTATATATATATATATATATAAATTTCCAATTATTTATTATGCCTCTCTTTTTTTTTTTTCTTTTTTTTATGATTAAATTTCAATATTTTTGTTTTAATGTATTAAATTTTCAAGATATTTTAATATTCATATAACCAAATAAATAAATTATATTGAGAAAACAGTATGAACTATAAAATAAACTTCTCATATAAAAAAAAAAAAAAAAAAAATTAAAAAAAATAAAAAAATGGAAAAATAATTTGGCATTTACCATTAATAGTTAAATACTATGTTTAAAGGTACTTTGCAAATTAATATATTTTTAAAAATTAAAAAAAAAGTCATAAATTTATTATATCTCATTTTATTTTTAAGTTTTTACATGATAAACAAACATAACTTTATATCATGTATTTTTTCTATTATATTATATATTATGAAAACATTACTTTTTCTTTTATTAAATATTTTTGTTACATATAAAAAAATAAATAATTTTAAAATGTATAAAAAAATCAAATAAATTTAATAAAAAAAAAATATATTCCTTTTAATTTTTTTTTAATATTAGCATTAAGGATTTAATAAAATACACATTTGAAATACTTATTAAAATACTTATAAACAAGACAAAAAAAAAAAAA